AGTGGTAAAAATGTTTTGTTTTAAGCCACGAAGCGCAAAATAAAGTTGTTACTTGATGTCAAACATTCTTTTCAGGAGGTTGCACTAGCCTGGAAAAAGGGTAAGAAAACCCAGTGTGTGCAAGAACAATGTTTCCCAGCAGTCCAAGTGAATATTGACTTCTGGCTTGTCTGAAGTTGACCACTGGGTAAGCCCTAGCTGGGTAAGCCCTAGCTCCAGGGTCCCCCTTTCAGTTAAAAATAGAGAAGATTCTGCATTAGCTAATTTTACTTTAAGACCTCCAAGAAGTACATTTTGCCTGTTTTTGGAGATGAGGTATTAGGACTTGTTGATTTGGGGATTTTACCTTTCTTGCTTTATATCATAAACTGTTTGTGGCTGGGCATGGTGGCAGATGCCTGTAATCTCAGCAGTTGGGAAGGCTGAGGCAGGAGGATTGCTGTGGGGTTCAAGGACAGATAGCAGGACCCTGTCTCAAAATAAACACAAACCCAAAACAGTAGAAGACAAAAAGCCTGAAAAATAAAACAAAAACTTTGCAAAATACATTTCAGTATTCTCTTTTTATTTTTTTATTTTTTGAGACATTCTATGTAGTTCAGAGTGAGCCGGAACTCACTGTGTAGCCCAGGCTGGCCTGGAACTCAAAGCGGAATCCCCCTGCTTTAGCCTCCCAAGTGCTGGGATTACAAGTAATCTCTTAGCAATTACTGGATTTCATTTTAGTGTTATAATTACTCTGGAGGATGTGCCCATTTTATTGACTGTGACTGAGGTTTAGAGAGATTGAAAGTGACTTGTTTGTCCAGGCCTTCTCAGAAATAAATTGCAGTCTGTCTGGGTTGGACAGCTTTTGACTTTGAATTTTGGTTGTGCAGCTTAGTTACTGTGTTAGTTAACCGGCGTGAGCTCTGAGCTCCTTATCTGTAGAATGGGGTGATAGAAGTTTGATTGCAGCGTTCTTGTGAGGATGAAGTGTAGTGTGGAATTGTGAATTTTGTGGTTGGTATCCAGTAAGGGTGCAGTGACTTGTAGGATCACCTTCCTTTAGTTGAGGAACTCATTGATGTATTCCTTACCTTCTAGGAAATTATCACGTAACTCATTTGCATTGCTAAGATTGGTAGGCGTGTTGGTAGATTGGTGTCCAGGAGAGGAGCAAGAATGGATGCCAAAATCACCGTTGCAGGTCTCAATGGCAAAATGCAGCCTCTTCTAGATGAGTCTTTGATTCTGTGGTTTAGTACAAATGCCAAAACTCACTAAAGAGGATTTGGAGCCTAACAGGGTTGATGATAGCCAGAACTTTTTTCTAGGTTTGACTTTGGAACTTTTGCGTTGTAGTTTGGGGTTTTGCAAGGGGAACAGTACGATACCGGACACATATTTTGTAAGATTATTTTATAATAGTCACCCAAAGCATCATATACAAAGAGAGTTCAGGAAATCTGTCCACACGCTAAAGACCAAAGAGGGGCTGGGGATTTAGCTCAGCGGCACAGCGGTGGCCTGGCAAGCATGAGGTCGTGAGTTCGATTCCCGGTACCGGAAAAAAACCAAAAAAAAAAAAAAAAGACCAAAGAATCCAGCTGAGGGCCTCGATCCCATGGTAATATCCTTCCAGCTGAAGACCTAGAGCCCATAACAATGCCCCCAAGTCCAACTGGAGGCCAAGAGCCCACAACCATATCTCATGTAGGCCTGTTTCCTGGATCTTTGCTGGGAAGGCCCAAAGGTCAGTGGTGGAAGCTAGAAAGTCTGTGCCAGCAGAATGAAGGATCTGTGCTTGCAGGCTGAGGGATCTGTACTGGAGCCAGGAAGCGATGCTCAACGTAAGAACCAAAGCTCCCCCAGTCATCCACAGCCATCCTCAGCGACAGTGAGGTCTTGAGCTCCTCTGATGATAAGGAAAGCCAGGTTCCCATCAGGAAAGCCAACGAGACAAGCTTCTCCAGGAGACTGAGCAGTGCATCATCCTCCCCTCTGGAGCCAGGAAGCGATGTTCAGAGTGAGGACCACAGCTCCTCCAAAGTGAACCATAGCCATTCTAGCGACAGTAAGGTCCCAAGCTCCTGGAACAAAGAGAACAGCCAAGTTCATTAGGAAAGCCTGCATGACAAGCTCCTCTGGGAAAATCAGCAGCTCCCTACAGCTTTCTGACAGCTTCTAAACTTCTTCCTCTCCAGTTCTGTCTTTTATGCTGCCGGCAACAATCCTCAGGTGGGCCCCCCACACCCAGCAGCAGGCTGGTTCAGTTCAGCTGGGTGTTACAAGTTTATCACCAGTTGTCAGTGCACCACAATTTAGATAGCTCATTCCTAGAAGTTTATTTCAAAGCAGAAGTAATCAGAAGACCTTGTTACAGTAAAGAAGACCAACTCAAATTGCTGGTCCTAGGAAAGTCTTACTTTGAGGAAAAACATCATTTTATCATCTTTTATACTTCTGAGATGTTAGATAAGGATTCAGTACCCAAGGCACTTGTTTTTAAAAAGACAGTAGGGCTGGGAATTTAGCTCAGCGGCACAGCGCCTGCCTGGCAAGCGTGAGGCCGAGAGTTCGATTCCTGGTGCGGCTGGGTGGGGGGAGGGGGGAATAAAAGACAATAGCTGTGAGCTATTCCTTTGGGAGTTTATGGAGGACTAAGATTTAAGTTTTTCTTTGTATCTGACTCTCTTTTGTTTTTGTTTGTTTTGTTTTTTGGAGACAGGGTCTTGCTGTATGTTCAGGCTGGCCTTATACTCACTATAGAGCCCATGCTGGCTTTGAACTCACAGTGGTCCTCTTGCCTCAGCCTTCCCAAGTGCTGGGATTTCAGGCATGCACTACTATGCCTGGTTCTTTGTATCCCATTCTGAGTGGAGAGGTGTAAGAATGTAACAGTTTGTTGGCACATGAAATTTCTAATGTGAACATCAGATTGCTAGTGTTTTTGTAAAGACAGAATTAAGTGGTTTTGCTCAGTAATGTGACATTTGAGAGGCTTTCAGGTTAAAATGGCTTCTCTTGGTTCACAAGGTATTAAAGATATATGGACAGTTGTATCAAATAGTCTTTTACAACTATGGGTGAATCTGTGTTTGAATTCACTGGCTATCCATTTTTAAACCTCATTATGAAAAAAAGCCTGCTAAAAATACTAAAATGCATGTTTCTGACTATATCTTCTCCAGTCTGGGCAGGGCCTTGGGAACATGGATTTTGAACAAATACTAGGTAGGTTTAGTGATACATATTTTATATAGTTTTTATTAGTGGTGAAAATAAACTCAAAGCTGGGGAGTTTTTCTTCCTTGTGTTTAGGTTATTAGGAGCTTTCACATTTTAAAATCAGTAGTAGCTAAAAGAGTTGCCCTTGGTCACTTCACACTAGATGAAGTAGTTGGCTGTGGCAGTGTTTCCCAAACTTCAGCGTGCATCAGAATTACCAGGAGGACTCATTAACATTTCTCATGAGGGCTGGGGATGTAGCACTTGCTTAGCATGTGTGAGGCCCTGAGTTCATTTGTCAGTATTGAGGGTAAAGTGTTTCTGATGCAGTAGATCTGGAGTGGGACCTGAGAATTTGCATTTCTATCAGATTTGCAAGTTACAGCTGATGGCCCTGGTCTAGTTAGGAACCACACCTTTTTATCCCCCCTGTGGTACTGGGGATCAAATCATTGGTCTCATGCCTGCTAGGCAAGCACTCTACCACTGAACTGTGTCCACCTGCCCTCCCCAAACTTTGATGATAGTTGGTTTGTAATTAGTGACTATATTGAAGGAAACATAAAAATACGAAGCTCTAGTTTCTCTCTGGGCAGGTGAGATGTACAGAGGATAGCATGTGGGAAGTGGGTCTGCTTGACTAGAAGAGCAGATTCACACCTACAAACCTCAGCAGTGATGCCAGTGCATGCTTTAGTGACAGGCAGAATGGATGGGATTTTTTCTTTTCCAAGTGAGCCTTGAACTCACTATGTAGCCCCAGGCTGGCCTCAGACTTGTAGCAGTCTTCCTGCTTCAGTGTCCTGAGATTATGGGTATGTGCCATCATGAGAGGTGGGATATGGATGAACTTGTGAACATGTTTTGAGAGTCAGTCCAGTAGTAGAATGGGGTGGAGAGGGTGGAACTAGGGATTAGTGGATAGTCAGTAGCTATCTTCAGGGAGCATGAAGAACAGAAAGATTAAATTGGGCATGGTAGCACATGTCTGTAATTCCCAGTGCTTGGGAGGCTGAGGCAGGAGGGTTGCTGTGAGTTTGAGGCCAGCCTGGACTACATAGGGAGTTTACGGGCAGCCTAAACTACATAGTGAGACCCTGTCTGTAAACAAAAAAATAAACAAACAAAAAAAAGATTTGGGAGCAACAGCTATGAAAGTTTCCCTATTTGGGATAAACCACTTTATCTCGAGTTCCTGATGCACCTATGATTCAACCAAGTGCGGGGGCAAGCCAGTGATGGATTCATTGTCTCTATGACTGTCAGATGAAGGTGTAATGGAACAGGCAAAGAGAGGACCAAAACATCTCTTTGCAGCTGAAAGAGTTTGTTTACAGTGTGCTGTGAGGTCATGCAGGGATATTTTTTCAGCTCTCTTAGGAGGTTTGAAAATGAAAAGCTTTAGGTTTGTGTTGAGAATAACCAGGCCAGTGAGTGCCTTCTTACTTTAATTTTTTTTAATTTAATTTTTTTTTGTTTTTCTTCCGGTACCAGGAATCAAGCTCACAACCTTGCACTTGCCAGGCAGGCGCTTTGCCGCTGAGCTAAATCCCTACCCCCTTCTCACTTTTAAATGGGTGGGAGTTACACATGCTTGTTAGAATTTTATGGAAGCAGGAAGAATGATAGGACATAAGGAGATACATTCCACCGTTAGTACCAGTAGTCAGTTTCTAAAGCCAGCAACGTCACTAACAATTCAGTAAATTAGTATGTTTAGATTTGTAAAAAGTAAAAAAAAACCACGTATATTATCTTGCATCTAATTGTTTGATTTCCCCTGTTTCTAGGAGGTGTGATTGCCTATATCAGTTCTTCCAGCTCAGCCTCTAGCCCTGCCTCTTGCCACAGTGAGGGTTCTGAGAACAGCTTCCAGTCTTCCTCCTCTTCTGTTCCATCCTCTCCAAATAGCTCCAGCTCCGATGTCAATGGGAATCACAAGAACGGAGATCTCTCCAATATAGATGGCATCCTGAAGAATGATCGAGTAGATTGTTCTGTGAAAACAGGCAAATCAAGTGCTCCTGGGATGACAAAGAGTCATAATGGTGTGACAAGTAAGTTCCTTTAGTAATTTAAAGGTCGCTGCAATTAATTGTAGATTGGGTTTATTTTATCCCCTTTGATTTGGGGGACTATTATAGTTATGGCTATAATTTGCACTCCCTTCTAGGTAATCATGGATCAGTAGTTAGGGAAGAAATCAACCATGACTTTAGAAGTCATAGCCTGTGGACTCTCAAGTGTAGGTAGCTAGGTTCTCTGCCTGAACATGTTTCTCGCAGGGCTCTCCCTTTTACATTATTCACAGTTATCTTTCTTCTGGATTCCTAGTACTCAGTATTGTTTCTAGAACTGAGGGCTAGGTGTGATGGTGCATACCTGTAATCCTAGCACCTTGGAGGCTGAGGCAGGAGGATCGATGCCTGTTTGAGGCCAGCCTGGGCTACAAAGTGAGTTCAAGGCCATCTTGAACTGCATAGTGAAACCCTGTCTCAGAAAGAAAACAAAAGCAACACTCCCCCATAGAATATGTGGGAAGGGGCTTCCTCTGATGAAGTGTGGGGTGGGAACATTTAGGATTAGGAAATAAAGCAGGGTTGGGATAACTAGTGGGTGACTAGTGGGAGTGGACTCCTGAGTAAGTGTGGAGGTAACAAGAGTGAAGGGAGCATCAGGGAGTGGGAGTGGGGCCTGTTTAGCTCCTGTAGGTGAGTTGAATGCATTCAGTTGCCTGTGGAGATGTTTCTTTGCCTTGTTTATTGATTGATTGCCCCATATCTCTTTGTTGTTTACTTACCAGTTCCTATGCCTGAATTGTAATTTTTATCCAGGAGAATTATTTCTTAGTCCTGCTTGCATATGTGGTGTAAGACAACTACAAATTTACAGAATTGCAGTTTGTTTAAAATCACTAAGAAAGGGGAAAACACCCAACTCTCATATTTTTGCAGTTTCATAAACTGTTTTAAAGACTGATTTCCTTTTATTTATTTGCTGTAGAGATCTTTCTTTTACATTATAAAGGTAAATATGTGTCTTTTAAAAGAAAGCACTTGGAAGCTGAATGAAACAACTATTCAGTTGGAAAGAAAAATATCTGAAATTATTTCTTCCAACTTTTCACCTCATGTCTGTTTGTACTCTAGAATTTAGTGGCATGGTTCTACTGTGTAAAGTCTGTGGAGATGTGGCATCAGGATTCCACTATGGCGTTCATGCTTGTGAAGGCTGTAAGGTAAAGCGTGCTTTTTTCCCTTAAACTATCGATAACTAGGGTTAAAGAAATTGGGATTACTTTTGCAGTTTCCACAGTAGATAATCTATGAGGGAGAGAAAAGTCAGATGTTCTAGTTTTAAGCATTTAATGAAGTATATAAAATAACTTTCTGGGGGTGGGGCAGTACCAGGGATTGAGCCTGGGCTTCATACATGATAGGCAAATGCGCTTCTACTGATCTATATCCCTAGGCTTTTTATTTTGAGACACGGTCTTGCTAAGCTTGTCAGGCTGGCCTGGAATTTGAGATTGTTCTGCCTCAGTCTCCTGAGGATTGCAGATGGGCACCACCATGTCTGACCGTGAAAGTATTTCTATTAAAATTTTTATCAAAACAAATTTGCTAAAAGCAAAAACAACAGAAAAACCCAAATTTGCTGTGTCACTGAAGCAAACTTAGGAGTATGAGCCAGGTGCACCAAGTACTAGGGAAGCAGCAAGGGGCAAAACAGACAGGTATTGCTACAGCCTTGGTGGAACTTCGCTTAAACCACACTGAATTAGGTCTTAACTGTGTTTCATGCTGCTGTAACAAAATAATACACTCTGGGTCATTTATAAAGTTTATTTGGCTTAGAGTTTTGGAGGCTGGCAAGTCCTAGATCCTGGGGCTACATATGGCGAGGGCCTTATTACTGTGCCATACTGTGGAGAGAGAGAACGTGATAGACAGCAGGTGTGCACACTTGCTGAAGGATGTGTGAGTATGTGCATGGGGGAGGAGCTGAACTCACTTTTATAACAGACCTACTCTCACAATGACAGCCTTAGTCTGATTCATGAAGGCAGAGCCCTTATTACCTAATCACTCTTAAAGGTCCTGTCTCAACATTTTTGCATTGGGGATTATGTTTACAACATATGAACTTCGGCAGGGGCAGGGCACATTGAAACTATAGCAGGTCTTATCAGATACTTTGACATTCTGACATGTCAGGTTCTGGGAACTGAGAATAATTTTAAGGACTTGTAAAATGCCTTCAGAACATGTACATTTAGTTGTGTATTTCCTGGTTACCACTACTTGAGTATTGGTTGGATAATTCCAAATAAGATAATGTATATCTTCCTACTTAAAACTACAGTCAGTCAGCAATCAGTCCCCCTCTTCTCTCACATATGGTGTAGTCCTTTTTTCTGTTACCAAAATTTAACATGCCAAAGATGCATATTCTTGACTTAAAGCTAGAAGCAAGAGTCGAGTCTGGCAGGATAGAGTAGGTGAACAGATAGTCAATGTATGTCATAAGAGAGGGTGGCTCTGAATGAATTGTGAGTTTATTAGCTTTTAATGGCTAAGTAACTTCATGAGGCTAGTTAGTATTTTTTGTAGATGCAGCTTTTTTCTACTGTTTTGTTTATTCTATTTTTTGGGGGGTGTATTTTTTGAGACAGGGTCTGCTAGCTAGTTGAGGCTGCCCTTGAACTCCTGTGTGCTGGGATTATAGGCATGCACCACTGTGCCCAGCTTCTATCATTTAAAAAATTGTGAAATACTGCTTTTTTTTTTTTAAGAAAAATGTGAAGTAGGCAATAGTGAGGTAGGCTTCATGCTCACATTATAGCTAACAAAAGCACAAGCTGAATGAAATGAGTTGTGTATTGCTATATACACGTATTTGTTCAATACTTTCTTAAAAATGTATTTGGTTTTGCTCTTTTATTCCAGTTTTATGTATTACCATAGTAATAAAACATAAAAATGCTATATCCCACAACTACTTATTAAAGATACAGGAAACATTTAGTCAGTTAATACTCAGGCAAGACACAGCTAAAATAATTTTGGTGGTTATGTTCTTTTTGTTCTCCCTGGAACCAGTGAGCTGGAGTTCTTTGAGGCCCTATCACAAGTTATACCTAAATTGTTAGCTTAGTAGTAAAGGCAGCCATTTGTAGCCATCTGGCTAGGAACTGTCTTTTCTTGATCCTTGACTGGTCTGGGGTGTATGCTGTAATACCTGTTGCTGATACAGCCAGGAACACTTCACACGTGGGAGAGGCCCTGCCAGTGCCAGCTGGTAATGATCCAGGGAAGACTAGCCTCTACCAGTGCAATTCAGGGTTCTAGTGAAGGAATTATAGCTATAAACACATTTTTCTGTCAACTTTTTAAGGCTAAGTCATTCATATTTCAGGAGTTTTGGAATGTGTATGTGATAGTATGAGATAAAAAATGTGGTTGTAGGTAAGGTCTGGTAAAAGGGGGCAATATAGTATGAGGGGTGCTTTGGGCAAGCACAAAGAGTCTTAAAAAAGTAAGGGTTTTGTTTGGCAAATACATGTAGCACCTGTTCGTTGATAGTAGTGTGAATTTAATTAAATTCTGTGTGTCAGTATTGTTTCTCTCTGTACTAAGCCAAAATTATTTCCTAGCTACATAATCATCTACTAGATAGACATGGGAATAGTGCTTACAAGGAATTTATCTGGAATTTCGGATGAATGAGTAAATCTTTTGTCCTTAGGGTTTCTTTCGGAGAAGTATCCAGCAAAACATTCAGTACAAGAAGTGCCTGAAGAACGAAAACTGTTCCATAATGAGAATGAATCGGAACAGGTGTCAACAGTGTCGATTCAAAAAGTGTCTGTCTGTGGGGATGTCTAGAGATGGTATGTGCCCAGAGGGGGAGTGTTGGAAAGTGTGGGAAGCTTGGTATTTGTTCCTTAGCACAGGCTGGAGTTACAAGCAAGTTATTAGTGGCCCTCATATATTTAGGGGGAAATAGACTTCAGAAAGCACATTAGGATGTTAATTTGGTGAGTCAGATTTTAGCATTGTCAACTCAGAAACAACTTTTGGCTTAGCTTTTTTCCCTGTTTATAAAAACCCACTTTTAGTCAGGCTTAGTGGCATATGCCTGTAATCCTGGCACTTGGGAAGCAGAAGGATCACTTTGAGATCAAGGCCAGCCTGAGCTATATTTAGTGAATTCAAAGCCAGCCTGAACTACATAGATCCTGTCTCAAAAAACCAAAAACCAAAACCAGAAAAAATCCTCACAAAACAAAAACAAAGAAACAAACCATTTTTCCCCCTTTTACAACTTGATAGCTTTTTAAAAAAATTTCTAAAAGAAGATTGCATTTCTTCAAATAGAACTTTTTAACTATCTCTTTGAATTTTTGGTATTACTGAAGGACCCACTTCTTATGTGAATTATTTATTACTTTGTAAGCCTGAGATGATGTATTTTTGGGGCACAGATCCTGAACACATGCAAAATTAACATTAAATACTAAGTCTGAAGTGGAGGTGGCCATCTAGTTCTGGCATAATCTACTCTTATGGAAAACAAAGGTTGTGCTAATTTGTGGTGCTATATTATTTGGGATGACATCATTGGAAGATTTGAGACTTGGGCTTAGGAAAGTAATTTTTGGAGTTTACAAAAGATGACAGGGCTAAGATGACAGGGATAGGAGGTTTTCAGAGTGTTAGTCTAGTAGAGTTCGTTAAGAATTGCTGTGTTAACTTCCTATTTATCTAGGGAAGGGTCATTTAGGCATTTGTTTTGATTACTTTAGTAGTCTTACTGATACAGAAGTGGAATATTAAAGAGTTTTCAGGATAAGAGATTTCAATAAGTAATGGTTTTTTGAATTACCTGAAATTTTTTATATTGTAGCACTAGTATATTAGTGCTCTAATGATAGTGGTTGGTTATTGGGATTGCTCCCCCCAAAATAAAACTGACAGTCACTTATAAAAGAAGGAACTAGAGATAAAGTATTGTCTTTGACAGTAATACTGTTAGAGGGTACAATTTGTAAGGCTTTCTTTCATATTACATTTTTACTTTTTTTTGTTTTGTTTTTGTTTTTTTTTCCGGTACCGGGAATTGAACTCATGACCTCGCACTTGTCAAGCAGGTGCTGTGCTGCTGAGCTAAATCCCCAGCCCCTACATTTTCACTATCTTGTATAAATATTAGACTTGTTGGTCATGGTGGTGCATGCCTGTAATCCTAGCACTTGGGAGGCTGAGACAGAAGGATTGCTGTGAGTGGTGGCCAGCCTGGACTACAAAGTGAACTCAAGGCCAGCCTGAATTGCATAGCGAGACCCTGTCTCAAAAAAGACGAAAAAAAAATTAGACTAGAAAGTAGCTTTTCTTTCCCTCAGAGATAGGATTATTGGAGACAGTATACCTTCTGACACTAGCTTCTAAAAAAATGGAGGATGGCTGGTTAAATTTTTATTTCATTGATTTTAATTAGAATTGAGCAAATTTATTTTCCAGTAATTGCAATTCTGTTGATTGTGTATATGTGTGTATTTAAAGAGATTTCCTTTTGTCTTTTAAGAAACCAGAAAAGAAGAGAGCAGGTAATTTAATAGGGTTTTTTGAGAGCAGGGTTAGAAAAATGAATTGACATCATTCTGGATTGTTTGAGACAATCTCCCTATGTAGTTCAGGCTGGCCTTCAACTCACTATGGGGCCCAGACTGGCCTTGAATTCACAGCAGTCTTCCTGTCTCAGCCTCCGAAGTGCTAGCATTATAGGAGTGTGGCACTTCCATTGACACTCAGCCCTGTTAATAGGGGACTGTGTAGTAATGCTGGTCTGCTTCAAACTGGTTTTCATTAGTTATAGTCATATTTAATTTTTAGATTTTGCTGGTAAAGTACCCAGGAAATATATCTCCTTATCTTTTTTTTTTTGTGAGAAAAATGGAAAAGTTTCTATTTCCCATTTTCTTTGGTTTATCAAGACCAGCAAATTTAGAAGAATTTGGGGTTGAGACATACAGACATTCTTTACTTGCGTGACTAGAGGCCATAGCTACCAGAGATACTTTTGCTATTCTTTTATACAGACAGCTCTTATTTAGAATGTTAAATAACTTTTTTCCTTAATAGCTGTTCGATTTGGTCGTATTCCTAAGCGTGAAAAACAGAGGATGCTAATTGAAATGCAAAGTGCAATGAAGACCATGATGAACAGCCAGTTCAGCGGTCACTTGCAGAATGACACATTAATAGAACATCATGAACAGACAGCCTTACCTGCCCAGGAACAGCTGCGACCCAAACCCCAGTTGGAGCAAGAAAACATCAAAAGCTCGCCTACTTCCTCTTCTGATTTTGCAAAAGAAGAAGTGATTGGCATGGTGACCAGAGCGCACAAGGATACCTTTATGTATAATCAAGAGCAGCGAGAAAACCCAACCGAGAGCATGCAGCCCCAGAGGGGAGAACGGATTCCCAAGAGCATGGAGCAGTATAACTTAAATCATGACCATTGTGGCAATGGGCTGAATAGCCATTTTTCCTGTGAGAGCCAGCAGCATCTCGGTGTCAATGGACAGTACAAAGGGAGGAACATAATGCATTACCCCAATGGGCATGCCATTTGTATTGCAAATGGACATTGTATGAACTACTCCAATGCTTATACTCAAAGAGTATGTGATAGAGTTCCAGTAGATGGATTTTCTCAGAATGAGAACAAGAATAGTTACGTGTGCAACACTGGAGGGAGGATGCATCTGGTATAGTGAAATCAATTTTTTGCTCACCTTGTGTCAAGGAAAGCTTTGCAGGTTTTCTTTTTTTTGGGGATATACCACCTTGGGAGGTGGGTCAGAAAGCCTAAAGAGAAATAAACAATCAGTTTTGTACAGTATTTTAGTTCAAATAATTTCAATAAACACTGTTAAAAGACCTGAGTTTATATAAGCAAGGTACAAGCATGTGATTTAACTGATACTGTGATTGGGATTAAGATTTTATGTAAATTATGATCTGTACAGAATTGGTCCTTTAATTCTCAGAAATCCCTTTGGAAATGAAGTATGGTTAATGAGCACCTTACTAGCTTTGGTGTTTTCTCAGAAGGGCTAATCTTGTAGTTTACTGTAGTCAGGAATTCTTTGCTTTCTATTGAGAGACATTTTTCTTTTCTCTTTATTTTGTTTGGAGATAGGGTCTTGCTGTGTTGCCCAGGCTGGCCTCGAGCTCCTGGGCTCAAGTAGTCTTCCTGCTTAGTAGCTGGGACTACAGGCACATGCAGTGGCACAGCAGAGAGCACTTTTTAAAACTGTTGCAGAAAGAGTTTTGGATGTAGACCCTAGGTATTTTATTAAGAATTCAGTAATATCGATAGGCTAATTTCTAAGGATTTTTCTCATACTTCATCCTGCGAGATGTTAATGTTACTCATATCATTCAAGATTTTTTTCATCAAATACACCATTCTACATGAAAATTCAGTGTTCATATTCAGCCAAAATTTCATCAAAGACAGCATTTCTGAATGATTTCCAGTTTATACCATGAGGTCCTTTGGTAGTGCTTGGTATTTTCTACTGCCAGGTAATTAGTCTTTTTTCACTTTCAAAATAGTTGACTCTATCCCAGTCTTCATCTACAATTTTTTTGTCCCTTGCAAATGTTTGGGGACAAAATTTTAAATCCATGGATCTAAAAGGTGACCTTGTATTTTGTTGGGCTTAGTGTCCATGAGGAAGGAAAAATCTGTAAGTATTTAGGTTCTGATTTCATGATAGTCTCCATGGTTTTAGAATCATCCCGTCCCTGGATTTTGTATGGATTTAATGAAAATTTAAAGGTTGATTTTACTAGTAAGAGTAGACAGTACATGTTTCATCATCTTTTTAGTGTTTGGCTTCCAATTTTTCCCTCCCTCCCTCAGTTCACATTTACAAGGTGCACCTTGTATCTACAGTCATTCTTCCTAATTGAACAAGTGGAGGTCAGTGGGCACACATTGTTATTGTCAAGATTGAAATCCAGGATCAGTAAATTTCCTAAAAAAGCAAAAAACACCTTACTACCTTCTTGGAAATTGCAGTATTACAATTTTGCCTATTTAGAAATAAGTGAGTTTTGAAATACTAACTAAATATAGACTTGGTTTCTAGGCCTGTGACTTACAGCCATGTTTGAATAAGTCACTAAACCTTTCAGAGTCTTACTTTCTTATATAAGAAATGATAGTCATAGGGACTTGTAGGATAGTACTGGAGTGCTTGCCTACCATCCATGAGGTCCTGGTTTTAGAAAAAAAAAAAAACCCACATCATTATCGTTAGTCATTACTGACTTGAGAATCAGACCAATTTGAGTTTGTTTCAAAAACCATGAAGCACTATACCAGCATAAGATGGTGGCAATGTTAAAAAATAAATTCTTAAACCTGTGCATAACTAAAAACAAAACAAAACCCTGTGTAGTAGGTTTTTGAAATAGCTTATTATAAATAGGATTTTTGCTTTGGCTACCTCTTTTATAGTAAGTAATTGCTGTGTAAATTAAGTTTTCTTTTTTTAATGTAAAGGTTATATACTTCATTACACCTCTTTTATTTAAATGTCTAGTCATTGACTAGAAGTTGTTTATTTTTAAATTGTAAATCAGAAGTTTGTAGTGTACATATTTACTGCCTCAGACTTCCTATGGTAAGGTGAGCAGCCAGTGAGAAAGGATTAATAGAAGACTTTTTTACTGTGTCTGGTAGCTATTTCATATTGGGGTTTCTGATGATTGAGATGTGATTTTGAAATTTCTTTGCTACATCTCACAGTTTAAGAGTTTTTTTTGTTTTGTGTATACAAGGTTTGTCCAATGAGTAAGTCTCCATATGTGGATCCACATAAATCGGGGCATGAAATCTGGGAAGAATTTTCGATGAGTTTCACACCAGCAGTGAAAGAAGTGGTGGAATTTGCAAAGCGTATTCCTGGGTTCAGGGATCTCTCCCAGCATGACCAGGTCAACCTTTTAAAGGCTGGGACTTTTGAGGTAGGTTTTATTTAACATGAATTTTTTTTTGTTTGTTTGTTGGTTTTTCTCCGGTACCGGGAACCGAACTCACGACCTTGTGCTTGCCAGGCAGGCGCTTTTGCCGTTGAGCTAAATCCCCAGCCCCTATCGTGAATGTTGATGCAGGATATGTAGAGTTTTCATTTTTTTCTGAGTATTTCTAGTTCAGAGTCTGAAACTACCAACAAAAGAATAACCATCTTAGGAGTTGAAGATAAATACAGCTACTTAAGACTTAGGTGCTCTGTAATCCCTAGCATATAGAGTCCAAGTTCATTGTGTTTAGGTATAGACTTGTTCGTTTTTGAAGAGGGTTAAGACACCTGTTGAAGCATATCCATAGCCCGATGTTTTGCTGTGTCCAGTGGAGAGTAAGAAAGGATAATAGAATATGGTTTTTGTCTTTGAGGAATTTATAGAATGTTGGGATTTATCAGATATCTCTAGTGCCACTTCAGGTCTTCTCAACCTCACCAGGCCTCAGGATCCTTGCCTACTTATTTTCCTTTAGCTTCCCTTGCAGGGATGCCTTCTGCCTGGACTTCGGGCAGCTGCAGCTGCCACCTTAGATAGGACCTGTCAGCCAGTGCCTTTCACTTCCTGTCTGCCCCAGGGCTTCCCTCTTGCTGCTGAACTGAAGCAGGAGAAGCTTTAGGTCCTGGTTGGAGCTTACTTAAGCATAAGTGAAATTTGGGCAGGTGTGAGAAGTTGATGTCTTGTGGGTCAGAGTTTTGAATGTAGGCCAGGGCTGTATTTTGACTTTCTCTTGGATGGTCTCATGAGGTGACGCTGTCAGTGAGTACTATAACCTCAACCCCCTAGTACAGTGATGGTGAAATCTTTCGAGCTTTCAGTGATAATGAATAGCTGGCCACAGCACTGCACGTGCACCATGGGTTCGTCACCACTGCCCCGGTATTTGCTTGCTGTCCTTCCTGTCTCGTTTACTTTTCTTCACTCCTGTTCTCACATGTCTCAGTGCACAGCACGTAGATGCTTTTGCCTCAGGCTCTGTTTTTTGGAGCACTTGGAGTAGAAGAAAGAACAAACCATACTCATAAATAAAACAGCTATGGAGTAATTAAAAAGCAAAACCTACAGGTTAGAATTTTCAGTTTGAAGAAAAACATTACACTTAAGGCCAGAAGGGAAGTCAGTGATCAAGTTCAGTTTACTTATTTTGGGAGAGGTAACTAGGACCTACCGAGATGAAGACACTTTTGCTTTACCAGTAAATTCATAGCATGTACTCCAGAACTTGCATTCTCTCTAGTTTGTGATTTGTCTTGGCATTGCTGTGTCCAAGGCTAGCTCCATTCCATTTTCATACCAGGCTTATTCCTGTTTGGGTTTTTTTGTTGTTGTTGTTAAAACAGTGCTTGGGAGCATTCAAAAGGAAGGTGTTCCTTTAAGGTGTTCTTTGATTATAGAAATGTAGACTATTGATGTTAACCAGTTAGTGTAAGAGAGGGAGGGGTGTAGGTAAGTAATAGAATTTTTAACTGATGGGCTTGTAATAGCAATTATAACGTGGTGTTTAGAGTACTTTTATTGCGATAGTGGCCTTTGTGTGTAATCTCTTTGGCTTACAGTTTCCTGAAGTAATCTAATTAGAGTTCATCTGTTTGCCTTGACTACATTTGGTTTTCTGATGTTTCTAGGTGTTGCTGCATTGGAATATTCTTTTACTTGGGGCACAGAGACGATGTAATGTTCATGGTAAAGAGTTTAATGCCTTTGGCTAGGGCTTGTTTAAAAATTTCTTGGCATTATTTCTTGTTCTAATTTTAGATTTGCATTTGAGAATCTTTGTTAGTAGAGTTTCAGAGTGTCACAGGACTCAAAAGTATTTTGCTGTTGGTGGCTGGATTTTTTTTTTTTCTGTTTTGTTTTTGTTTTTTTCTGGTACTGGGAATCAAACTTAAAACCTGGTGCTTGCCAGGCAGGCACTGTGCCACTGAGCTAAATTCCCAGCCCTGGATTTTTTTTTTTTCTAATGCTCATCTTGGAATGTTTATTGTTTTGGTAGAGAAAGTAGTTCCAGGTAAAAATAAAGTATCATTTACAACTTTCTCTTACATTTAGGTTGTTCTTAACTGACTTGAATAATACTGTGTGATTTGCTACAATTGCTGCTGCACTTCTCCAAATACATTTAAATCTTTCTCTTTTTCCAGGTTTTGATGGTACGGTTTGCATCATTATTTGATGCAAAGGAGCGTACTGTCACCTTTTTAAGTGGAAAGAAGTATAGTGTGGATGACTTACACTCAATGGGAGCAGGGGATCTCCTGAACTCTATGTTTGAATTTAGTGAGAAGCTAAATGCCCTCCAGCTGAGTGATGAAGAGATGAGCTTGTTTACAGCAGTTGTCCTGGTATCTGCAGGTAAGCAAGATGGTTCAAAATTGTGCCATATCTAGAATATAGTCAGTTAACTGGGTTCCAGCCAGCTATATATATTATGGAGGTAATAAAGTATAACAGAAAATGCTAAATTATTTGAACTTACTATTTTTGTTCTTTCCCCCTCTTTTGGTACTGGGGATTTGGGCCTTTGCACTGAGCTACATCCCCTGCCATTTAAAAATTTTTAATTTTGAGGAAGGGTCTTGGTCTTGCAGAGTCACTAAGTTGCTCAGGCTTGAACTCTGTAGTATGTTCTTGCCTCAGCCTCCCAGAGTGCTGAGTTTACAGGTGTATGCTGCTATGCCTGGCATTTTTTTTTATCATGACAGTATAAATCAAGGTGCAATAGTAGTTAAATGATTTTTAAATCTGGGCCTTGCATTTACCACTTGTCTTAGCTTTTTGTAATTTTTCATTAGTACAGGTATTTTGTGCATTTATTTTTTCCAGCATTGTGTATCTCTAGGTATGTGGTTCAAATATCAATCAAGTTTTAGTTATTATGTGGGTTACTTGAAAATGTTAAAAGCGTCAAGAGGCATTAGTATGGTTTGTTGCAAAGATACATGATTATGTAAGTTGTAGCCTTAGTCCAGCTTTGCCATTGGATTTTCAGTGTGATCTGGCTAACTTATTTTGTCCTTTTGGGTCCTGGTTTCCATATCCTGTTAAAGGAAGGTGTTGCACTATGTGAACCTAGTGTGGTGTCAGTTACTGGTTGAAGGAATAATCAGGGTTTTTGAGTCCTTAGATTTAATGCGTAAGTGAGTCACTGATGTTTTTTTTTCAAATTTCCTTGCCTTGTTGCATTTATATGGCAATTATTACTACTTTTTTTTTTTTTTTTGGAGACAGGGTCTTGCTATGCAGTTTAGGCTGGCCTTGAACTCATTAGGTATCCCAGGCTGGCCTTCAACTCACAGTGATCCTCCTACCTCATTCAGCTGCCCAAGTGCTGAGATTATAGGTGTGCATTACTGTGCCTGGCAAGTCACTTCTGAACAAAGTATTTCAATTCAGAAAATATCCATTAAAGTACAGATTGTTATTTCCAGTAGCAAATGAAAAATTCAGGCACTAATTTTCTTAGGGGAACCTGAGTAAGTGCCTGCCACTTTTAGCTATCATTTAACTTTAAGACATTTGCTGTAAATTTGGCAGTGTTTTGATGACTCTTAAGTTTCTCATTTGTTTTCTGTTCTGTAAAGGACACTGCTATGTGAAGTTATGGCTTCTGATTATCTGACTAAACTATAAGAAATCTTAAAGAGAACAAGTTGTTTGTGTAATTTAAAGGGTTTTCATGTCAGTGAGACAAAGATTTGCCTTTTGAAAGTATAATTTAGCCACTTTTTCAACCAGTTGTATCTGGATAAAAATGAGTTCATGACATGAAATAGTATAAACAAGTATGTCAAGAAGGGACACCTCTTCTCTTAGTGACCTTTTAGTACTGCTTGGATTTTACCTAGCATTTAGTGTCTCTCTCTCTCTCTCTCCTTTTCTTTTTTTGAGACGGAGTTGCTATGCCTTGAACTCACTTTGTAGCCCAGGCTGGCCTTAAACTCAGTGACCCTCCTGCCTCACCCTCCCAAGTGCTGGGATTATAGGCATGTTCTACTATACCTGCCTGCGCGGTCTCATGATAAGGAAATAGCACTGGTTTGAGTTGACATCAGACTAATAAATCTGCCTCTGAAACCAAAGATAATCAATACTTGTGAGATTTTTTTTGTGTGTGATGAGTATGCCTTAGGTGCTTAGAGGAGACAAAAAGCATTTAACATAAAAGCTTACTCTTAAAAGTGTTTATGTTCTATTTGGAGGTTACTAATGAGCTTTGTGGTACTACTATGTAGTTCTGACTGGGATGAATAGAAGTTACAGAAGGGAAGATGAAATTATCTGAGGCAGCTTTGTGGAAAGGTGGAGGAGGAGCTGTCATTTGAATGTCGGATTAGGAGATCTTCCTAGTACTGGAAAGCCAGAAAGGTGTGAGAAAGCACAAGAGAGAACGGGAGGGGAGGTGGCTGGAGCCAGTGGCTGTGGAGGAGGAGGGAAGAAATTGCAGGCCTGAGAGCTCGGGGAGTACAAACTAGGGGTCAGCATCTATGAGAGCCAGGCTGTTAGGGAGTTAGGGTTAGGGAAATTTTAAGCAAACTACAGGCATTGAAAAGTCAGTGTAACTTCTGGAGGAGGAGACTGATCAGGTGTGAACAGCACTGTTTAGCATTAGTCCTGGGTTTCTGTCATGGATGGATTGGGTAGTTAATCACTGGAGCTGGAGAGTCAGATTGAGGCTGTTGAAAGAACACAGATGTGAAGTGATGGAGCAAACTCTCCTGAAGTAAGTTAGAGCAGGTGAGGACGAAGTACAAGGGTCCGTGTCTCCAGAGATAGCTCAGAGAAAGAAATGAAGGTGAAGGGTTGAAGGAGAATGAAAGGTATGCAGGAGCCTTCTACCTTCCTTTATAATTTCTATCAGACACATGATTTTTGTTTTAATCTACCTTTGGAAAACTTTTTTTCCTAATTGTAAGAGTAATACAAGTTATTTGGAAGTTTAGAAACTATGAAGATAAAGATGATAGTATCACTGTAAAGAAGGATTACTTTTTTTTTTTTTTGAGCAAGGTCTCATTTTGTAGCTCAAGCTGGCCTTGAACTTGAGGCAATTCTGCCTCAGCCTCCTGAGGTCTGGGATAAGAGGCCTATGCCACCACGCTTAGCCAAAAGGATCACTTTTTTGTCTTCTTATTTTTGGTCTTTTTGAGATAGGTTCTCCCTATGCAGTTCAGGCTGGCCTTGAGCTCACTTTGTAGCCCAGACTGGTCTTGAACTCACAAAGATCCTCCTGCCTCAGCCTCCCGGGTGCTGGGATTACAGGTGTGTGCCACCATGCCCAGCTAAGGATCACTTTTAATACTGAAGGTCTTTATCCATTTATGTATCCATCCATTGATGTGTTTATTGTTTATTATCTGAGACATATAAAAGATACTGGAAATATTAAGTGGAAAAGAACTGAATATAAAATAAATGCATTCTCATTTTGTTAGGTCTATGAAGATATAGAGGTATACACAAATATATTTTTCATGTTAAATTTAAGTTTTTCATTGTGAAAAATCACTTGCTGTTTTAGAAGCATTGTCTCAGTGCAAGAACAAACTTCAAAACCTACAGAAGACCATAAAATGAAAAGTCTTCACTTTTTCCTGTTTCAGTCTTGTTCCTCAGAGGATTAGATGTCTAACCTTGCTTTTTAGTTGTGTAATTAAACATTGTTTTTGATGGCGCTAGGAATTGATCCTCAGGCCCTTATACATGCTAGGCAAACAGTCCGTTACATCCCCAGTCCTCTTTTTAATTTTTTGATATCTTGACCACCCAACTCTGAGTACAATGGTTCTACTTCTTTTTATTTAGTGCATAGTGGATAAATAGAAGTCCTCTCCTTTACTTCTCAGTTTCTGAAAAAAATTTTTCCTGTCAAGTTTGATACTTTGGTTTTTCAGCTACTCTCTTGGTTTTATTTATGATTTTAATACACTCACTTTTTAGTTTTTAGTACTGAGGAGTGAACCCAAGGCCTTTGCATTGAGCCCCAGCCCATTTTTTAATTTTACAGTTTGAGACAGGGCCTTGCTTAGTCACTGAGTTGCCCAAGTTGGGCTCGAACTCTGTGTCTTGCTGCCTCCGCCTCCCAGAGTGCTGGGATTACATGCATTTGCCATTCGTGCTCTGTTCTGTAAGTAATTGTTTTTCATGGTTTGTTTATCAGTTTTAAGGTTGAAGTGTCAAGAGCCATATTTGCAGTACTCTGATTATGTAAGTAGTGTTCATAGTGTTTATGCTGGATTGAAATGGTAGAAAAGGTGATGTAAGCCTTTGCCCTAAATCACTGCAGCCCGAAGGGGGAATGATCATGTATCAAGGAACAAATGAGCTACTTACTTCTCTATCAACCTCTTAGAGCAGCGGTGGCGAGTCTATGGCATGTATGCCACAGCGGCTCCTGCCATCATCGTTGAAAGCTCTAAAAGGTTTGCCATCACTGGCTTAGAACTAAAAATTAAACTTGTTTTTTCTTTAAAATAGCTTTTTCATTGCCTTAGAATATATAGTTTTGTTTTTTATTTTAAAAAGGTTTTTTCTGGTTATCAGAAGAAATGCTGGTTAATTTCTAGATCTCATTGCGTAAGTCTGTCCTCAGAATGGAGCCCTCACGTGAGGCAGGCCATGCTATCCGCCAGTATGTTGGGTAAGGGAGTTAATAATTGGCTAGGCAGATGTTTGAAAACCCACTAGTCTGGTCTTTACAGAGGCATGCTGGAAGTGAATATACATAGAGAAGTAGAAGATAGATGTATATAATAGTGTAGCCTAATGTAGTATATCATTCCACTTCAGTCTGTGAATTCAGATGTTACGGACTCCAGCAGAGTTTTGTTTATGATTGAGCAAGATTTGTAATTGAGTTCTTTGGCCTTGAAATCACAAAGACCATAGCTTCAGGAAAATGAATATGATTTACAGTTTTAGGAATAGGTATCTGTTTTTCTGAAGTTCTGAGTTGTATAGAGAAGCATAGGTCATTTAAATACCAAATATGCACCAAATCGCCAACTCCTTATATTATTAGTTCCTACTCTTTGGTTGGAGGAGATCACTGTTCTTTTTTTCACTTTATGTTGTAAATTACTGATGATAAGATTGAAGCAAGTATTTTCTTTTGTGAAATGTGAGCTCCTTAAATTTAAACTTGCCTTGTTTTGTTCACCTTGAGTTCCCTACCACCTAAAATAATAGCCAGCACACACATTCAGTAAGTGCTTGGTAACTGATTTAATGAATTGCAAGGATGTTTAAAAAGAAAAGTCAATTAATATTAGAGGCAAGAAGCAAGAAGCTGGGTGTGGTATCACACCCCTATAAACCTGGCACTTGGGAGACTGAGGCAGGAGGATTGCTGAGAGCCTGAAGTATATAGTGAGTTGAAGGCCAGCCTGAACTGCATAGTGAGACTCTGTCTCAAAAAAAAAAAAAAAGAATCAGAGGCAAGAGACTCTTGGAAACGTTACTGAAGGCTTTAAGTAGTTTTGCAAAGATAACCTTATAATTGGCCAAAGCCAAATGTCAAGAGAAAGAGGTCATCTAATTGTTTTGTCTGAAAAATTACGGCTTCCCACACCATAGGTCAATATTATTTGTTTCTTTTTCCATGGTAATTAGTACATAACTATAAGAACTCAAATTGGGGCTGTGGATTTAGCTCAGCGGCACAGCGTCTGCCTAGCAAGTTCAAGGTTGTGAGTTCAATTCCCAGTACCGGGGGAAAAAAAAAAAGAACTCAAATTGTGCTGTGTCTGTTTTCATCATTTTTTGGCACTTATGTTTTACCTCTTTTACTATTACTTTTAAGTCCTTGTTCTAAATGCTTATATTACAAATTACCTTTTTCAGCTACTAGTAATAATGGAAGATCTCCTTGTAAAAAATGAAAGTACATGAATGACCAGACAAATTTGCTTCCTTGTAGAAAAGAAGTCTTTTTCTTCCTCAGCCTCCCTGTAGCGGGAGCAGTGGTTTACCGCCTCCGTTTGTAAAAAGAAAAATAACACTTGATGAAAAAATTCTTGGGCAGACTACATAAAGTTTGGCTGGTTTTAAGATACTTTATATGCTAAATCACTAATTTATTTACATTTTATGTGACAAGCTGAGTAAACACAGTATCCAAAGTACAAGTTAATGCAGAGTAGTATAACTAGTGTTATAAAGTTGCATGGTCTGTTATCTATTATTGCATAGTAAATTCCTTCAAAACCTTGTGGCTTAAAATGCAAATGTATATTACCTCAGAGTTTTCAAGGGTTGGGAATGTGAGTATGATGTATGCCCCTGGTTTGAGGTTTCTTAGGAGGTTGTAGTCCAGCTTAGGACAGGGCTGTGGTGGCCTATGAGGGCTCGAGTAGGGAAGGGCCTGCTTCCAAGCTCGTGTGATTATTGGCAGGACTTAGCTCCTTGAATGCAGTTGAACTGAGTGTCTTAGTTGCTTGTGGCCCATTGACTGGAGACTATAGTTCCATACCCTGGGACTCTCGCTATGGGACTGCTTGCAGCATAGCAGCTGGCTTTTCTTCCAGGGAGTAAGAGAGTATCTAAGATAGAAGCCACAGTTTTTTTGTAACCCTATCTCAAAAGTGACCTCCTCTCACTTCTGCCTTGTTTTATTCATTAGAAGTGAGGCAATAATTCTGGCCCACTCAAGAGGAGGGGATTACAGAAGGGCCTGAATACCAGAATGAGGGGGTTGTTGGAGGGCATTTGGAGGCTGCCTGTCTACCCTGCATGGTAGCATACCAATGGCGATAAAGTCCATATGTAGTAAAAATGTATTTCTGTACTAAATCATTTTATTTTTGCTAATTAGAAGTAGTTGGAATCAATAGATGGCATCTGATTTTAGATACCAGAATCTCTAGTTTTGGCCACCTGAGGTACTGCATGTCTGTATAATCCCATCACTTGGGAGGCTGAGTTTGAGGACAGCCCAAATTACAGAGCGAGACCCTGTCTCAGAAAAAAAAAAACTTGTTTTTTTATGGTAGAAATTCCAAAGCACTAAAGAATTTTGATGTATTAAATGGCCTATATAATGTAGTGTATATGCAGTATAATAAGTAGCTAGGATGTTTGTGATTGAGAGTTATAAAATTTTGTCAATTATCTTTTGCCTTTGTTCCAGTGTATAAAATCTGGTTTTGAATCAGATTGATGAGCAGGAATTATGTTTATTGTTAATAATATGTCTTTTCCGTATTTCTCTGTTCCTCATTTCCTATTAGATCGATCCGGAATAGAAAATGTCAACTCTGTGGAGGCTTTGCAGGAGACCCTCATTCGTGCACTAAGGACCTTAATAATGAAAAACCATCCAAATGAGGCCTCTATTTTTACAAAACTACTTCTAAAGTTGCCAGATCTTCGATCTTTAAATAACATGCACTCTGAGGAGCTCTTGGCCTTTAAAGTTCACCCTTAAGGCCTTTGTTTATTTGAACATGAACTGATACTAACTGTACATTTTGTGCTACAATGCTTATTTATATGTGTGTACCATACGTGGAGAAAGAAAAGACCTTTAAGACAATATGAGATTGTAGGCTATCTCTGTAATCACGCAATAGCTGTTTGGATTGAGAACTCTTCAGCCCTGATTAGATATTGATTGCATCTCCCCAATAGACCAATCAGCTGTGTCGCACTTAAACTGGAGAAGTTACACTGAATTATAATCACACTGAATGTTAGACTTTTTCATCTGCCAAAACCAAAAGCCACCCATTTTGATCTCCCTGTGGTATAAATACAACGCACAATCACAAGTATAAGACAGAAATTAGTCCTTTGTGATAAGAGGTACTATTGAATGTTGGAAGTCTTGGTGTTGCCAAAAGACTGTTATATCTGGTAGTTGGAGATTTGGGGAGCTAGTAGATCTCCATGTCTGAATTTTACTCTGCCATGGTTAAACTTGATATCCTGGGCAGGTTACTCATTTGTGGAAAATGAGAATTGATAGTGTCCCCGATGCCCCACATCTCAGAGATACTAAAAATGTCTATAAAAGCATATTTGCCTCTTGGGAGATAGGCACTATGTAAATAAGATAAAAAAATTTTTATTATAATTATTCTTCATAATACTCTTTTGTTATTTTCATGCATTTCTGGGAAACCATTTCATAGTCTACCCCAGGCTGTTATTCAGGGTTCCTTGCATATGTGTGGGGTGTCCTGATACACACATATTCAGAGTTTATGGATACATCAAATACATAGTATGTGTACATAGTATGTATGTGAATAGTTATACATAAATATATTTCTTCACAATATTTTAAACTGTGAAGAACTTTATGATACAATAAACTTAAAACAAGAGGTGTCAAAAGACCCAAATTAGGTGCATTTTACCCGTTGATTACATAACCATTGCTTTAAAAATATTTAGACAGAATATTGAATTTATCCTCTATTTTTGTTTATTTAAGCAACACTTAGTAAGTCCAACTTTCAGAAAATGTGTAGATTTCATCTTTGGTAATATCTTTGGTTCAAGGTACTAGTTTTTTAAAAGTTTATTCAGATTCTTACCTTGTGCTAATAAAGGTTGCAATGCTGCCCCTTATATCCGTGCTGCAGCCCAGTGATAAAGAATTTTGATCCTTCTTGGAGAACTAATGTTTAAGGAAACTGTTGGCATGTCTTAGCATGTATGTGTGCGCGTATATGCGCATGCACGCACACACACGCGCGTGTGTGTGTTCTGAGTCCACTTTTTTTTTTCCCTGAGTAACACTACAGGGATTTTGTCAAATTAGATTTAATCTATAATTTGAAAAATGAGTGTGTGACCTACAGACTTAGAAATGGTATAGTCAAAGATTTTTCATCCATGCTTCTAAGAGTGGACTTTATTAAACGATACGATCAGCTTCTGTTTGGGAGAAATAGTCAAAGTTTAGGATTTTATGTATGTTTTCTGTTTCCCCAGAAAAGAGCAATCAATTGGATTTGTTGGTTAAGATTGCCTTCTATATAATGTTCAGATGATATAAAATTACAAATGTTAAGAACTTGCTTTATTTCACTAAGCCAGTTACTTTTATGACATGAGCAGAATGCCTTATTATGTAATCTTGATTAATTTGTTGTTACTGAGATTTGAATTTCTGTGGCACTAGTAACTAAGGTTAAAAAAAAAAAAGGTTGAACCCTCATTGTAAAAGAGGAAAGGAGATGGTGATGTAATATGATATAAACCATAACTGTGATTTACCTTATGTGGGTATGACTTTTATGGGATATACAGTTATAGTTTTGTGAATTCTTTACATGGTAGCATTATCTTTTAATTTTTTTTTCCTAAGATAAATAAATGCATAGTTTTCTTCTATGGGGGATAGAAACAGCTTTTTGAAATAATATTGGAAACCTCAAAGATCATGTTGATTTTTAATTTTTGTTTTTTTGCATAAATCTCTTTTATAACATGTATCTTTTAAAACGATTAAGTCTTTAGGAATGTGTAACCAGGACTATGTTAGTATTGCTTATAAAACTTTAGTTAGGTTCAATATATACATGTATATGTCCGTATATAGGTATATAGATTCACATTTTGTCTTGTAAAATTTTATTTGAGTAAATTCTACCTGTAGTAATGGGAAACAAACTTAATAGTTCATATTGCCACTCATAGCATTTCTGTATTTGGAAATAGCCCAATATGAAACTTGTAATTCTAAAATTAAACCAGCAGCCTATTACAAGCACATTTTTTGATTGAGTTGTGGTTACAAACTTACTAAATGCAAAGAGGACACTAGTAGAAGACATCAATTTAGGGAACTTCTGAGTCAGTGGGACACTGTTGATTAATGTACTGTATGAATTCAGTGATGCTTTAACTCTGATTTTATGTTTTAAAGTTAAAATATGGGCATTATGTCAGGAGTATTAAGGGCATTATGTCAGCAAGCTAAAACATTTTTTTCCTGTGCTTTTAATGTGTATCTCTTCATGATCTGAGACATGATTCCAGCTTTCAGAGAGATAGCTGAGGGAAAGGGGAAACATCTTGTGATGAAGCTTGTCCTTCTGGTGATGTTTTAATTACAGATTATAAAGATAGAAGGAAATTGCAGTGGGTTAAGTGTATAGCTTTCATATTTACATTTCAATGAATTACCATTGTAACTTGATAAGAGATGATTTATTTTATGTAAACATTGCAAAGCAAGGTGTAGAAGCTCAGCTAGATTTATTACTGTGCACGAGAGTAAATACCTATCTCAATTATTCTTTTTTTTCAATATAAAGTTTGCTGAATGTACAAGAAAAGTTTATCACTTAGGATATAGAATTTTTTTAGGGGTTGAGGGAGGGGCTCTGTCAGGAAATTGTTACAAGCAAATACTGTCTTGATTTGATCCAAAAAATAAAACCATAAAACTATTCTTGAACTAACATGGAAAAATAAAATGGCTACTGTTTTAAAAATGATAGCAATATATTGTTGACAGGAATGAGTTATTTTCTATAAACTGTAATTGATGACATGGATAATATCTTCATGTTTCTGAGAAGTAACCTGTACATGGGGGAGGGGATAATAAATATTATTTCTAACCAAGAGTGATGTTTTGTGTCTGCCTCAACATTTTTGTTAAAAACATTTGTAATTTAACTTACAAGTTAATCTTTCCCCTGAGCATGGCAGAATCTCTTACGTAAATCTCTGGTTGAGCATGGGAAAATACCTGCAAAGATTGTAGTTTGTTTAGAGGTTTCAGCAAGCAGTGTTGCCGTTTTCTCTCATGCCAACCGAGTGATGGTTTGCTGTGTCTGGAAAAGTGCTTTTTCCAGAAAGGAGATGTGAGAGAGCTGGTGTGCTTGACCTGCTGTGAGTCAGCCTGGCCATAAATGGGACAAAGTGCCTCAGGAAGACCACCTCCTGTTCCTTTCCTAACAGGCAGTGCCTGGGCTAAGTTGAGGCCATCATTTAAATTGGTGATACATGGAGTGTGTGTCCTAGAGCAGGAGGGTCCACTGCTCTTCTGTGGATGTTAATTAATGTTAGGAGGGAGAAATGGGCTCCTTGATCAAATTTGGAGATGCTGGGTCAAACAAGATTACTGAGATGTCTCTGTCCATTCTCTTAAGCATTGTGATCTGTGTGTGTGTGTGTTGCTTGTTTTGAGTGTTCTGCTGTGTAATGGCAGGCTGGCCTTGAGCTCACCGTGAAGCCCTAACAGGTCTAGAATGCCTAGCAGTCCTCCCGCTTCCTACCACTGTTACAGGTGTGCACTGTGACACCTGGCTTAGTATTATGAATTCCTCAAGGAAGGGTTTAATGGGATGCATTCCCGCAAGTTTTCCTCCAAGTACCCCCGCCCCTGCCCTGAGCATTGACTCTGGAAACTTTGCTTTTAGAACAAAAAACTTTGTTAATCTTATACCCTAGTGGGTATAGATTAGGATGGTGATCAAATTTAGTGTATCGCACAGATTTATATTTTATTTTGTAGTCCCCCTCTTTTTTGCATAGCCTAATAAAACATTAAACTCCAAAGAAACGTGTGGTTAATAGAAAACAAGATGGATTGGATTCCTACTGAATCTGGGACTGTTAGTAAATGAATAAACACAACCAATGAATAGATGTGCTTTTAATTTTCATGCTTGGGCCTGTGTTAAAATTTGTTAGGTTTGCTTTTAGATTTTAGTTTGAAAATTCAGAAGCAGCTATGTATGTGTTCTAGTAACCACCTGAAGTGCTTTCCCGGATGAGAGTGCTCATTGTTGAGGGTGATCATTAGAAGTCAGTGCCAAATTGGCTTAGGGCAGCACTGAGTGGGTTTAAGAGCCATTCAAGGGGGCATTTAGAGGGGGCATCTTGGAAGAAGCCTAGCTTCTCTCCACAGCCTGTGGCGCAGCCCTCAGTGTAAACATGCTCTCAGAGTTAGCATCTCTTACTTCATTAAATGTTACTGAAGAAGGTGGGATCTGTGTTTTTATTTTTTTATTTTTATTTTTTTTTATTTTAAAGATAAAAGGAAACATTAACAGACATACAACATTTTACAACATATCACAAGCACAATACAGACAATACAGAGTTACAAACAAAGTGGTAGGGAATTAACAATGGTGGTTGTATTACATATTGATATCTTCAAAGTGGCTTCTCATGAAAACAGGATCTGTGTTTTTAAAAGACCTAAACAAAATATGCAGGTGAGTATGATGTTCCTAAGGTTTTTTCCTATTTTTTCTTGCTGAAGCCTGCAGAGTTGGTTGAGTATGGTCTTTTAAAGTATCTGAGGTAAAGAGTGTGTTTTCTTTTGTGTTACCTTCTTTCTCCACACCTTAACTTCATTAGTTCCCCTCTATTTGTTGTTTGGCTTGTACATTTTCACACACACCCCCCTCCCCCCATAGCCATTTCATTTCCTGTTCAGATTCTGCCGTTAAATAGGTGCAAGTAGGTTTGCTTCCTAAGTGGAAAGTACTTACTTTCATGATCAACTCGTTCCCTATAATGGCTGCTCTTTCTCTAAGCTTTTTAAAAAAGATTTTTGAGGAATATATGGGTGGCTTAGTCATTTATTCATGCCCACGTTTATTGAACATTTGAATGTTAGGATGTTTTTTCCGTCCAGAGGCAAATTGGGATTCCATGCAAAGCCAGGGAGCCAGTCCAGATAGTGTTGGAGCAGTTGTGAGCACAAGGCTACCTTCAAGGATAATTGCCGGGCCCTGGTGTTCTAACTGCTGCATACTGCTGCCAGCTTGTAAGGGCCCATGAGAACTAACCTTCCAGAGATTAGGGGACCGACCATAAACAGCACTACTTTTAAAAATTGTTATATAAAAAAAGCTTTCAAGGAAATGGCTTATATTTAAAAAGGTAACTCAAGTAGGTGCATGCTTATAATCTGAACACTTATGAGACTGAGGCAGGAGGATTGATGAGTCTGAGACCAGCCTGGGCTACATAGTGGGTTTAGGGCAAGCCTTGAGACTGTCCCCGCAAAAAAACCCCCCAAACTAAAAACACCTCACAAGTAATCATTTTCTAATTATTTTAGTTTTATTTTTGATGTGAAATACTGAATTTGTATGTAGATGGTGAGAATACTTTGAGATAGTGTGCTCCTGCCCTTGTCGTCCCTGCTGTCGATGGCACATTTCTAGCTCAAAATTGGCCAGGGAGAGATGACTTACACCATGGAGATCTACAAGTACTATGGAAAATCAAGGTCCAATTTCTTGTTTTTATTGTCTAGACTTGTTTTTATTGTCTAAGAAAGTGATGGTGGCTGGATGTGATGGTGCATACCTGTAATCTCAGAACTTTGGAAGGCTGAGGCAGAAGGACTGCAAGCCGGGACTGAGGCCAGGCAATTTAGTGACATATACCCTCTCTTAAAAAACAACTGGGGATGTACCTGAGTGTGAAGGCCCTGGGCTCAATCCCCACTACTGGGAAAAAAAAAGTGATGGCAAAAATATTAATGTTAATACAATATGCAGAAAAAAAAGTGATATAAAAAATGTTAATGTTAATACAATATGCAGATAGGATGTAGGCCAGGTGTGGTGGCATAGGCCTGTATTCCGGCACCCGGGAGACTGACATGGGGATTGCCACTAGTTCTGGGCCAGCCTGGGCTACGTAGTTCAAGGCCGACAACACCCTGTCTCACTCCCCACTCCCTCATACAGATAGGACTTAAAAATGTCACAGACCTCTATTTTATTTTGAATACCACAGACATTGAAAAGTAGTTCAGAATTTGAAAATTACTAGTAAAGAAGTCGCTCACATCATCAATAAACAAGTTAACTTCTAACAATTTTGTTTCAGTTTTGTACTAAGTTATGTATATTAAATGTCAATCAAGTTTCATGTCAGAACTAATTTGTCATTTGCAGCTTTGACAAAAATCAAGTATTGCATTCTGTGAGAATTCATTATATGAAAAAATTGATTATATGGAATTTACAAAAAATGTGTTTTATAATATGAATATGTTTTATAAAGTGTGTGCTTTAGCCTTTCAGTAAAATTGCTACGTAAACACACACATGCATCTTTTCTCCCCAGAGAGCTGTTTGTTAAGCGTTTACTGGTGCACCACTATTTTTACACACTGATTCATTTGATCTCACCCTCAGGAGGTAATTCTGTTTCCTCCATACATAAACCATGGCTCTGAGACTGTGAGTACCCTGCTTGAGGTCCACAGCTGTGAAGTGGAGGATTAGGGTACAAACACAGACATTTGGGCTCCTGAGCCTGCACCTAACTGTACTCAGGGAGCACAGGCTTGGGGTCCACTTCTTTGCAGGGTTGTTTTGATTTTGTTGTTGCTTTTTTTTTTTCTGTCCTTTTGAGACAGGGTCTCACTATGCTGTTCAGGCTGGTCTTAAGCTCACTTTTTAGCCCAGGCCGGCCTCAAACTCCTGGGTGCTGGGATTACAGTTGTGCGCCATCGTGCCTGGCTTGCAGGGTTGTTTTGAATAAATTTTTTTTTTTTTTTTCAGGTTGAGAAATTTTTTTTTTTTTTAATTTTAAAGATAAAAGGGGGGAAACATTAACACATACAACATTTTACAACATATCACAAGCAGAGTACAGACAATACAGAGTTACAAACAAAGTGGTAGGGAATTAACAATGGTGGTTGTATTACATACTGATATCTTCAAAGTGGCTTCTCATGACAACAAATATAGACATGCAATACTGGTCAACCAAAGACTCACTGACA